ACCGGCCGGCCGACCGACCTAACCTAACCAACCGAAACCAACCGAACCGACCGACCGTACCGCGCGACCGACCGACCGACCGACGACGACGACACGACACACACACACACACACACACACACACACACACACACACACACACACACACACACACACACACACACACACACACACACACACACACACACACACAAGAGAGCGAGGGGTGAGCGATTTACACGTCCCATCACCTCTCCGACGCCCAAGAGGTGCTGTAACAATATTTACTCTACACGTCTCCCGTTGTCCTTGTTATTTTGAAGAACTCTTGAGAACCAGGTACGCTGTACGGCGATGCTGAAAACGCTGTTCAGCTAATCGTGTTTCGCCGGCCGACCTTTTGACGGTCGAAGAGACGGGAAAATGCGAAGTATAATTGAGAATGTTCGTCAGATGTTGAATACAGCGAATGTCTGATCGTATATGTCTCTAACCAAGCATTGCTGCGTGCTTTAAACATGTACTTGTCGAATAATAAATTAAATGAAAATATATAAAATAATGATAGTAATAAGAATAAGAATAATGAAAATATCATAATAAAAGTGCACAGTATATGTGGTCGTTCCATGTGGACCTTCGGCAGTTCTCTTATTAGGGATCATTTTTTGTAAAGTAAATTGTGCGGAAAACCACAAAATGGCGCATAAACACACAGCGTTGACCCAAGTAACGATGGCGAGGTATCAAGTGTGCGCACGAGGCGGCGCTTTATAATGTCACGAGACAGCCGTCTACGGCTCGCCTGCCGCATTGCTATTTTTGACTGCTGTTTTTTCCTGCTTAAACCCTGTTTACGATTTTTTTCCTGGACATTTAACTCAAGCAAAGAACATGCTCGGGCTCAGAAATTGTCTGACGTGCATCTGTCGGCGGGGGGGGGGGGGGGCTACACGAACGCAGCAGCTGCCTGCTTGGCCTCCAAAGCGCCCAGTTGCAGAACTGTTCAGTTTCGTGAACAGGAAAGCGTGCCCAGATAAATATTGTGGGAGAATGGAAAAGGAATAAATATTCACGTAGCTGGGTTGGCTAGCAGAGGGCTTAATTTTTGCTTGCCTTCTATAGCAGGTATTGTGTTTACGGTCTGTGGTAGCAGGCGAAACCCGCCTAAATATAGCGTGTTACGTAGCACAAGTTGTGGTAACAGTAACATTGCTGGTAACGTTTTCACTCATTGAATTGAGCTGGGGCAACGAGAGCTGCTAGTAAAGTGCGTCGTGTAGAGGATAAAGGAACCAATGTAGATACCTTGACTTCGCTATGCGTGTACGTGCATGTGTGCGTGTGCGTGTGCGTGTGCGTGTGTGTGCGCGCGCTTGTGCGTGCGTGTGTTTGAGCCATCAATCTCGTTACACCAAGAGCTTCGTGTGTGATGAATGCTCCACACGTGATAGTTGGTCGTAAGCATTCGGGGAAAGGGAAACGACCGTCGTGATATCACTGAGACTCAGGAAACATAGACTATCGCCTATAATTACGTAACTAATCTATTCCCCAATAAAGTGCTTACTATGGCCAGTTTTTTACGTGTACACGCGCGCGTCAACCGTGCGTGTCTATCGATGTCCATGCAGGCAACTCGTGTACACGCGACAGGAAACATGTTAGAGCTAAAACTTATTGGTCTTTCGTCGATTATCTTTTAGACTTGCGTCATGCAGCGTGCCCGTCCCGTATGCCTTGTTACTCTGTCAGTTTGCTTCAGTGCGTGTGTGTAGTGCGTGTGGGTTCGGCGTGTGTTTGTTATCATACTCCGTAGCGTGCCATGCGTATCTCCATCTCATCACTTATTAAAACCCGGGGACGACATCTGCCTTACACTTGTGACTTGCACTGTTCGTTGGGTGTCTTTAACTGATTCAGGGCCGTAGCAATGCCTATCTCCTCTTAGACAGAGGTTAAACCACGTGGTGTGACCGGATACGTCATGAGGGAACACAGACCAGATAAGCTTAGACCAGATAAGCTTAGAAAGCTTGCTTGGGTTTACTATGCTAGCTAACTTAAAAAGTTACTTTTCACCCCCAGCTACCGTCATCGCTCTGAACTGATCGTAATACCTAAAAGAAATGCGCAACTGCGTACTTGTTGTTGCGTTACAATAAGCTGATCAGTCAGTTGAGGTTAAATGCTCGCTGACACTCATTATCAAGTTCTCGTTTCCTCATCTGCTAAAAGCACAACGTCTTGGTTTACGGTGTGAAGTTCAACGTTCGGATCCTGCTAGCTGGCACGTAGACCCTACTGAATAGGAATGATTTCTCTGTGTATTTGATGCGTATTTTCAATCAACGTTTAAATCATGCTACGTATAAAAGATTCGTGGTTCGATGTAATGCGGTAAATGCACTGCGGTGTGTGTTTGTATATACGGGCAATGACCACCACACATGTCTGTCTATGCGGCTGTGAACATCTGTAGCTGTCACAACAGAATGATCGAGTCGTTGGTCATAGGAGAATTCCCTCGTTTTTCTTGTCACTTGGCGTGCAATGCCATTGTAGACATTCACTGCAATCACGTAGGATTCCCCCCCCCTACATATGCAATTTAAATTTTGCTGTTGTGAGACAGACGTTGGACGTTTACCGCCAATGCGTTCATTGCTGACATGTTCCTGTGTCTTGCTGGCTGCTGTCCTGTGTTGTGGCGGGCAATTTGTCCAGCAGTGACACATCTGGCACGCGGACCCCGGTGCTGTGTTTGTGTTTGCATTGCTGATGGGGACACGCTAACTGCGAAACCTCCTGTGCGGTCCCCTGCTGCTCTCTATCGATTCACTTCCTTCCTCATCAGACCTCACTGATTGCACCAATTGTGCGCATATTGCTATTACTCTTTCCACGCCATCTACCTCTTTTGCCTCGCAAGTTCAATGACTCCCCCTCTCTCTCCCTCTTGCTCTTTATTTCTATCCCTCTCTCTCTCTCTCTTTCTCCCGCTCTCTCTTCTTTATGCCGCATAACACTATAATGAGCAATGTCAAGAGCAATTGGGGAATCGGTCGTTTCCAAAACACTTTTAAAGCTTAAGCGATTATGTGCGATTATGTGCGATTATGTGCGATTCTGCTGCATAACTACAGACGCTGCCTAGTTCACACGACACAGCAGAGAAGAAGTACGCGTGGGAGATACGTGCGTGTATGGTGACCTGCGCAGGTCATGCGAAACTGTGTTTTACTCGGTGTGATTACAATGTATGAGTGCTACGTGAACTAGTAGAAACAGGAACGGGATGTAATATTACATAACTCACATGTGGTTGACGATTTTTTGTTGGTATACCTAATACGAAAGATGTGCAAGTTACACGAAATTGTTTATTAGGTTTCCTACGGTTACTATGAGTTTTGCGCGGGAATGAATGGATTCGTACCTCGGAATTCTTAGGAAACTAGCAATCACGCCGATGTCTACGAAAGATTTGATTGGGACGGAATGTTTGTTTGGCCTATCATCTGTCGAAAATATCTTAGTAGCACGGTTACCGTTTATTTACGTTAGAAGCGGAAAACCTTAAGCCTTGGCTTCCTCGTGAATGGGTGGGCACCCGATTAAACTGAACCAGTTACCCGATGTGCGCGATAAGGAACGCTGTCTCTCGCGCGCACTCGAGCCAAATTTTTTTTGGCCAAGTTTAACCCCAGACGTGGTTCACCCTTATAGACATTCTTGTCGTAGAACACAATAATAGTGGTCGTCGTCGCATGAGCTAATTCTTCCATCGTCGCATGTGTTTCTGGATTAGGGCTCCTATTGATCGCGGAAAACTTGGAAATCCTGCAATTGTAAAATGGAATTTTTCAGATCAGGAAAAATCCTGGAAAATAGGGTCTGATCCCGGAAGGTCCTGGAAAATAGGTCGCTGACTTCACGCGCGCAAACACATGTGATTTGTTAACGGAACGTAAATTCATCGGTGGCCGCAATTAACGGAAGCAGAATGCGCCGGCCTGGTTCACCTGTCCTTCACTGTAAACATGCTAGAAATTTATGGGGTTCGCACGGGCAACTGGGTGGTCAGTAGAGCTCGAAGTTTGTTATTGCTTTGTCCGTCAAACTGCCCACAGCTGCTGTCCGTTCGTAAGACGAAGGCTGTATATATATATACGAGTGTATATGTGCTCATTTATATACGTGTGTACATTGCTTTCGTTAGTGGAGGCGTTTAGGGCCAAAACTTATTAAGTCACGGGTCATTCCTGTGGATGAGATGGGATCATGGGGAGCATCCCTGCAGTGGATTATGCTCACACGTGATAGCTAGATCATGGGTAGCTGCACTGTTTATTCAGATTGGAATTCATGCGAATATGTATTAGCACCATTACACGGGGATTATCATTTCACAATATTGTCGGAAATACACGATAAGCAGTTTCATCGTATATTTCTGATATTACCAGGAGTAAACGTTTCCTCTTATTATTTCCTCCTGATATAACTTAAATTAGTTCTACATGTGGCACAGAATTCTTATCATATAAGTTGTTATATATAGTTGTAAATAAGTTGCAGATAGTTGTATATTATAGTTGTATCTAAGTGTTACATATAAGTTGTTATATATAGGAGCTTTTTTATATATATATATATGTGTCACCAGAAGTCAATTTTGTCAGATCATCTTGCTCTCGGTGTCTTGTTATGCTAATTGAACTGTCTCTTCCTTGCGTACATAGGTGGAGATTCAGCTGATCGATGTGAACGACTCTCCGCCCGTGTTTGATCAGGACGAGTATGCCTTCTTCGTGTCCGAAGACGCACATGTTGACCACACCATCGGCAAGGTCACGGCAAACGACCCCGACACGGTGGACACTGTCCACTATCACTTCTACAAAGGTGCGTTAGGGGTAGCGGCAGGGGTGGGGTTAGGGTGAGGGTTATTGTTAGGCTTAGGGTTATGGTTAGATTAGGATTATGGTTGTGCATGGTTATGGTTGGGGTTATGTTTAGACTCAGGGGTAATGTTAGGGTTATGATTATAGTTATGGTTACGTTTAAGGTTATGGTTGGGCTCAGAGTTAGGATTAGGTATATGCTTGTGGTCAAGGTTAGGGTTACACTGGGGCTGACTCGAATGAGGGATAGCAGGGCCGCAGTGAATTTTGGGATGATCATTGTGATCGTTTTTAAGTAGGGGTTATCAGTGTCAGTATACATACGGGTATAGTTCCACCTTACATTGCGAATGGCGAGTGGTATCTGTTCGCAACTATTATAACCTCCCCATGTAGATTCATGGATTAGGTTGCATTGTCTAGCGTTCACTGACCAAAACATACCGCTGTCTGCGCGTTATATGCTTATGCTTCATGAAACTCGAAGAATGACGTGACGTTTATACGAAGTGATATTTGAATTATACCGGCATACTGAGTGTATTCTGAATTATCTGGTGTACGTATAATTATTATATACCTGCGTGCGTCATCACGCCATTGCTACAGCTTCACGGAAACATTACATACTGTAGTTTCCTGCTGTACTACCGATTGTCGCAGTAGTAATATTTTATTTGCTAACGTGTAAAGGTGATTGAGCTAAGTGTTATTGCTCGGGTGTAAATCCAGATAGCGATGCTGGATACATATGTTACCCAGTTTGTGAGAATATGTACTTCATACGCACGATACTCATCGTTTCTCCTAAAATGTAGTAAAAATAACACTAGTCCCGAAAGGCATGTTTTACCAAACTTTTAACTGACGATTAGAAAATGCAAAGCATATCGAGTTTCGCTTGTGAGTCATGCTACACAGGACATCACCTACAGATACCTATTATACGTTATATATCCCCTTATACCTAATAAGGGTAATGGTTGGATGATCCTTTATCAACCTGTAAGAGTTTAAGATTGTTGTTCTTGGTCTACTCGGTTGGCCGTCGCATTGCTTACTTAATATATATAGGGTTATACTTGGGGTTAGGGGTTAGGTTTGATTTTGGTTTAGAGTTATAGCTTTGGTATTGGTTAATGTAAGGGAGAAGATAAGGTTTTGGCTACGGTTAGGTTTCCTTTTGGTTTATGGCTTCAGTATAGGTTAATGTTAGGGATAGAATAGGGTTTTGGTTAGGGGTAGGGTTCGCTTTCGGGGTGTAGCTTATAGGTATGGGTTAATACTAAGAGGAGGTTAGTTTGAGTAAAGCAGTCGTCACGCCCTCTTCGTTGGTTGCAGGGCAAAAATCGCCGTTTAAGATCGACCCCACGACCGGCGTCCTGCGTACTACGCAGGCGCTGGATCGCGAGCTGGCGCCAGTCTACGAGCTGGGCGTGCGCGCGAGCGACGGCGTTCACTTTACCGACGTGACGGTGACCGTGCATATAGAGGACGTCAACGACAACGCTCCACACTTCGACCGCGCGGCGTTCTCATTCGAGGTGCGTTCTCATTGTGTGTGCGTGCGTGCGTGCGTGCGTGCGTGCGTGTGTATGTGTGTGTATGTATATATATACATATCCTGTTCAATTTATGTAAATTGGTGCAGCAATTATCAGAATTTCTTGGGGTAGGGTTATTTATCATTTTCACATGATAAATGAAATGTCTCGGAAGTATTTAGGGCAGGAATTTAGACCTATTAGGTAGTAAAGTAATTAATATTGTAAACTTAAATGCCAGTTATCAGGATCATTCTTATATGTATGAATGATGCACACTATAAATATGATATCCCCATAATTACTCTTAAACAGATGAACCAGAGGCACAACCTTACACACCGATTAAACCATTTTACTGGAATCTGCTTAATATCTGCATAAATATCACGTGAGAATTCACATTATTGTGCAGATGAAGCATGGGCCATTATTACAGACGTGTACTCTGCTTGGAAATTCCTTTTTTACCGAGTTGTATTCAATTATACGTATTCTTTACGAAAACGTGTTGTGACAAAGTTTCAACGGCAATAGCTATAGTTGCAAGTTGCAATCGATCGTTAGCATGAATTGAATCATCACTATACTGTTTATTATGTTTATTTGATACCGCTGGATATCGTAGACCTTGTGATATTACAGTGACATCAACTCTAATCGTGACACGCGGAAATTTTTACTATCTGCTCATACACATGCAGGTGCCAGAAAACTCCAGGAAGGGCGCCGTCGTTGCCAAGGTTACGGCGACAGACGCCGATGAGGGAGCCAATGGGAACGTGAGCTACGAACTGATCTCAGACTGGGGCGGCGATGTCTTCTCCTTCAATTCAGACACAGGCGAATTTACTCTCATCGACACTCTAGATTATGAGCAGGTATGTTTTCCTTCGCTATTTATCTATTTGTGAGCCGATTATCTATTCAGATTCTTCTACATGAATGCGAAATGAGATTGAAGAATATTTGATCTCGGCCATTTGCAATATGCTAGCTTATAAACGTTTATTTGAACGCAGCACACGGTATCTTATGATATATTTCATGTAGGCTTTTATGAAGTACTGAATTTTATGATTACGTATTGCAATATTCTAGTGGAGCCGGTAGGCGGTAATAGTCCTCAAAGCGGATTTCGTCAGTAAAATTAAAACTTCGTAAAGATAGAAATGATGTCTGCATTTATTGCGTACGCTGTACATTTCCTTCACCTATACTATATAATCCCAGGCTTACATTAGCACCGATTCCGGTGCATTCGGCTTTGCAAGGAAGCCCCCAAGTTATTCATGGTTAATAGACCCACTAGGCCACCAAGAGCCGTCCATACAAACACAGCAGCGAAATCAAAAATGCCCGTTGGCACTAAAAAGTAGGATATATGTAATTAGTTCTTTTATAATGGCGCATTCTAGTCCCGCGGTTCCATTAATGGAACGTAATTTTGTTCGCAGCGGGTCGAGGGTAGGAAAATTGCTAGAGCAATTACATATACACCTCCTCGTTATGGCCGTTGATTATTTACCAACCGAATACACAACCGTGTCAGAAACCTGTAGTAGCTTGCGTAATAGCCCCGTCGTAATAGCTAACTAAGCTGCCACCACACCACACAGCTAAGCTAACACCACGCGGCCACGAATACGATTGAGTATGCGAAGTTTTTCGCGGTTATTTCTGGACTCAAGAAAAACATGATTAAATGAAAAAAAATGTATTTGCTATTCGAAATTGTTTTTTGTTGCGTGTCGCCGCAGGATCGTAGTCGCACGTACAGACATGTTCGCGACGATGGGTGATGAGAGGAGGCAACGCTGTAACCTATATATACCCTCACCGTGGCCCAGGGCGGCTGCTCTTATATATATACGCAATTAGCAGCCTCTCCCCTATGTTGAAATTCTTAGCAAGTAGGCCTAATTCGAAAAAATTTAGATGTGTGGATGTCTGTGTGCGTGCGTGCGTGCGGACGTGCGTACGTGCGTGTGTGAGGGGGAGTTCCAGGGAGGGGACGTTTACCTACAACGGGTGAACCATGGTTTGCAGTGCTACGTGGATTGTGTTTCATGGGCAGGTGCGCGCGTGTAACGGTTTGATAGTAGGTAAGATAGCCACGACCTGTGCTTCTATTGTTATAACCGATCGTTTTATGAAATGCTTTTTGCCCTATAATTGTGCAGTTAACTGTAAACGTTTGATACCACTGCCCCTATTAACATCCCGCTTGGGATAACATGAAACCATGAGCTTACGCATCCATATATATATATATATATATATATATATATATATATATATATATGGATATAGGTGACGTGTTGTTACGTAAACATTAATTTGCTTGGTCGTGCAGTCAGCACGGCGGAATCCCCGCAGAGCAACCTAATTGCCCTTAACTAATTCCGGGGCGATGAAAGAGTAGGCTCGGGGAAAAAATTAACGCACCAAAAAACGTGTTTAAAAAAACTCGTTAGAGTATATTGTAAAATACGCGCGCGTAGACGAGTGTGACACTGGTACGTCTCCTTGGCGTAACCGCCCCCTTTGCCCCGCCCCCCGCCTCTCTCTCATCTCTCTCTCTCCTTCCTCGTCTCTCCTCTCTCTCATCTCCATCCGAGCCACGTCATCTCTCTCTCTTCTCTCTCCTCTCACACATCACACACATCTAAGCTCTCTCTGCTTCTTTCTCATCTCTCTCTCTCTCTCTCTTCTCCTCTCTCTCCTCGCGTCTCAATCTCATCTTCTCTCTCTCTCTCTCTCTTGACTCTCTCTTCTCCTCTGCTCTCTCTTTCTCTCTGTCTCTCTCTCTCTCTCCCCTCTCTCTTCTCTCTTCTCTCTTCTCTCTTCTCTCTCTCCTTCTCTCTCTCTCTCGTCGCTTCTCGCGCCTCTCTATCTATCTATCTATCTCTCTCTCCCTCTCTCTCTACCATTCTCCCTCTTCTTCTCCTTTCTCTCGTCGCTCTCGCTCTCTCTCTTCTCTCCTCTCTCCTCCCTCCCCTCTCAGTCTCTCTTTCTCTCTCTCTCTCTTCTCTCCTCTCTCTCTGTCTTCCTCTCTCCCTCATTCTCCCTGTCTCTCGTCTCTCTGGTCTCTCTCTCTCCTCTCCTCTCTTCTCACCCTTGTCTCTTCCTTCCTCTCCTGTCTCTCTCTCTCTCTCTCTCTCTCTCTCTCTCTCTCTCTCTCTGGTGGGCTAGTCTTCGGCTCTGTGGTTTGCACTTGTCAGATGGGGTTCAGCGAGTCACACGAGCAGGTGAAATTCGCGCCGACTACGTTGCTAGCACGCCCCGATGTCATGCAGAACAGATGCTTTTCGTTTTCTCACGCCGGGGTTAGTGCACTTCCTGATCGTAAACCCAGGAGCGACTCTGTTACTCTCGAGGTGAAGCAGGATGAAATTACGCGTAGAGAGTACGAGATTACCGTCACATGTGAGATTAGTTTGACGTGTTCGTAGATGGAATCAAATACGAATAAGTAATGTATATTACTTAAATGTATATAAGTCTACCTACGATTATTTCGCGGGATAACAAGAAGCTCGCATTAGAGTCAGACAGCTAGAATGCGTTCTTTGTAGAGGTAGATAGTTGGTTATTCACTCGTTACATATTATAGATCTCGAGGATATGCGGCACCAGTACGTCGTAAGATGTTTTAGTAATTTATGCTGACGGTGTTTCACCTGGGAGCTGGCATGCGCCTTATGATGAGAATGCAAATGTATGCGTGTTAGTGGAATTGCCGCTTCACGTGCCAGCTGCAGCGTTACTGGCAATTATTGGTCGAAACATGAGCGAATTTAAACCGCATGACGTTGTATTGGTAATGAAATTAACTAGTGACTAATTGACTAATTGTTTATATAGTTAATATTATTAACTATATAAACAATATTATAATCATTAGCGTAAACGCAGTAGCACAGCAGTACGTGTCTGTGCGAGCGGATGTCCACCAGGTGACATTCATAGGTTCATTAACAACAAAATCATTTTACTCGCATCAGCAGCATTTACACGTGATGGCCTAATTGGGAGTAGCTATTGGGCGCAGCTGGCCCCACTGCAATAGTACAGCACAAGTGCTTTGACATGGCCTGTCCGTATCTTCTCACTACATTGTCTGCCTGTCGCGAAGAAAGAGTTCATCGCTCAAAATAATGCTGGTGACAATACGCTGGCCGGAAACGATGGGCCTAAATTGGCGTAATTAACTTACGGAACACCTGCCGAGAGTAATCCCGTCTCTGGTTTCGAAATCAATAATGTTATTCCCTTGTCGGCGGGATATGTTTCGAGTGGTATTGCAATTACACTCAGAAAGTAGCCTGTGTTCTATTGTTAATTTTTTTCCACTATCGGTGTGTACTTATGTTTACGTGAATTAAATTCTGTACACTATCACCGATATCATTGAGTCTTACCATTCGAAAACTGTTTATGGTCGACACATGACTGAAATTTTTTTCAGATATCTAATAGGCTTGTATTAAAAAGCGATTTCAGGTTTCCTGATTTAGTAATTGACTTTAGTATGTCTTAGCTAATTTATCAGACCTATCTGCAGATATTGTGGCCGCGAACTTTGCTATTCTGTACGTGTAACACGCAGGGACGTAAATGCTTATGTGTGGACGAACAAAACCTGTCGCTTATTATAATGATCTAATGCGCGAAAAAGAAGCTTTCGGCGCAACGATTTCGTCTAATAACTTATTGTTTTCACCATTTCGAAAATAAGATCAAAGGAACTTTCGCGCGCGCGTGATGATACTAGAAACATTCTCATCAGTGTACGCGCAGGTACGTTACCTTTCTCATTCAACTGACAGAAGATTTAAAGATCTTAGCTCATGTAAGCAACAATGCACGACTCAACCCTCGACGACTGCTTAAATACACAACAGGTGTGGGAAATGGCAACGCCTAGCAGCAATATCTGTCCACTTTGCTGCACATGTGAGAAGATTTATATTAACACGTTTGAATCCCCTTAGGATTCGTATGCATAAGTAATGATATTCAGAACATTCAGTTGGGGTGCGTGCGCGCGTGCGTGCGTGCGTGCGTGCGTGCGTGCATGCGTGCGTGTATAACATTGAGATGCGGGAATATCCATCCAGGTGCAGATGTTCTGCAAGTCATTGTGTATTTGCAGATCTTTGCAGTATTGAAAATCTGTAGGATTAGCGGAAACTTGTTGGAAGTCGATAGAATGGAACTTTGGCCGCAAATATGAATGAAACTATAGCTTCCTATCACCAACTACTGGAAAACATGAGATGCATAAGTGTTATAATATCACAGAACCGTATATATATATATATATATATATATATCCTGCCAGTTACACGATCACACCGGCACGTAGCCATATAGTCACAAACCTATATAGTCACGTAGTCCGAAAATGACGCAGTCACGAATCACGCAATCGCACAGTCACGTGACCACGTGTTCGCATAGTCATCTAGCAATCCAGTCATATACGCAGTCATATATAGTCATCAACACAGCCCACAAAATCACACTGACACGCGGTCACACAGATACGCAGTTACATAAAACGCCACGTGCACACTCGCATCAACTCGCCTCAACAATGACGCGTTTATAAACGTTAGGACAGCGATGATATTTAATGACTTTTTAACTTCAAGCCAGTCGATAAGAGTGCAGATCATCACGTGAGAAGGTGAACTTTATGGCTGTGAACTACATAAATCGTCGTCGTAACAGACCGGTGAGAGACACCTCAACGGCCGCTATTGGTCTCGTACATAACCATCGTTATCTAGAGGCCCTGAAAGCCGCGTACCTCGGTATTTAGGTAACACAACCTAGCTGCCCGCCTATGGCGACGACTGCCGAGGGGAGTTCG